AAAAAAAAAAAAAAAAAAAAACATGTTTTATTTCTTTGGCTCTATTGAGGTTTGTGTGCACAATATTTTCCTCTGGGTTCTGCTTTTGTTTCATGGATTTTTTCAAAAGTGCACTTCTTTGGGAACCGTTCCAGTGGCGTTATTGATTATTTATTTATTTTTCCCTATGCAGACTTGCTGTATGCTACATCGTTCAGAGTGCACAATACACCAACTACAGACGCTTTAGAGTGCTGCCCGTATAGCTTCTCTGTTGTTTGATTATTTTAAGTCTTTTGCTTACAATCTATGTGCTTTAGAGTTAGCCTGGCCAGTATACCTGATTTTTTATTACACAGGTGCCCATTTTGTGCAGCAGATTGTAGTCCCACATCTGAAATGGATGATTCATATAGTGCTTTGCATTTGAGAACAACGATAGTGTCGTCCACCCTCCAGATACAATGATCATGACAGGTACAAAATTCCTATTTTACACCTTTATTTAGTGTATTGCTTTAGTTTTCGGGTCTGCTGAATACCATGGACTCATTAGTGGGACATGAATAGTTCGCCTAATTATTTCATTACATGAACATCAAGTTTGGGTTTGTCACACGTATGTACTACATTGGTTAAACAACTTCAAAAACCACATTATTTAAATTGCTGCTTTTTTATCGCTACTTATTTCAGTTCTTGTGATAAACACCTTAGCTTAAAAACTTTTTGCACTGCTCATTTATGTAATTAATTCTGTTGCTTTTTTGGTTGTACTTATGTCTGTCTTTATTACTGATTGAAATTCAGCCCTGGCTATACAAGCATCACAGATGTATCGACTTTTTGTCGTCGTCCTTTTCATTAGGGTCCATTTTGGTGTTCACAAGTAAGAGCCTTTTTCATTTTAAGGCCAGCGTCGTGGAAACATCCAGTTTAATTCAAATGTTGCGATACTCTTTGAATTTGGAAATAAAGAAACACGCGTTAACCGAGCGCACTTAGTAATTTTTTTTGCTTCCAGTTTTTTGGGCAAACACAGACCACATGTTATTTGTATTTATTTGGGACATAGAAGTAGCACGACATCAAATTCTTATGCATGCAGTAAATTCCAATGCACTTTTGTACAGGCCACATCGAGTATCACTTTAGCGGTTCCTCTCGGGCAAATGTTAGACTTGGCGAGGAAAAATATGTGCCTCCTGCGATTGAAGGACACGACAATAACCTGTGACGGCTACGACTTCGTTGATGACAATACCTTATTGAGGGGTCTGTCTACAGCCTCACATTTTGTGCTCCACGCATCTCGAGTGAACCAGTGAATTTCCAGATTAAGATGTTCCGGATTTAGTGCCACGGAGTTTAATCTATTCTTCGATTGTCTTTAACACTTACGACCTATTTACGCTTTTAATTGGTAATGCTGTTTGGCTAATCATTCCATTAGAATCTGGTTGCAAAATTATACTTTTGGTTTTATGTCATCTTATGTTTCGCGCATTGTGGACGTATCTTGTAACATTTCGGTTTCTATTAAAGGTTGTTGGCTAAATAGTTGTGAAGAAGGACTATTTTGATGCATTAATGTGCAGATAATGGTTTGATTGTAGTGTTTGTTCAGTCACACGGATTGGTATACTAACACCTACACAAATTTTGACTGATAAATGGGAACAACATGCCGATAGAATAAATTCAGAAGGTTGTAGCTTAATATAATTCACTTAACACTGTTTTTATAGAAGCTCCAATTTAAGTGACCTGGTGCAGCAATTGGGAGCAATAAATCCCTAGCCACCGCTTGGGGAAACTCATCTTCAGACAATCAGAAATTAGTAACACAACCCTACTATACAACCATATGATAACCAACTTGGTTAAACAACTTTAAGAAGCACTTTATTTAAACAACTTAGTTAAACACCGTATACAAAAAACACGTTATTTAAATACCAATACACATTTTCTTTCTAACTATTGAAAAATTACAACTTCCCGACTTAAAAAATGAATGGAATTAGTTATATATTACATTCATGTTTTTCATTTCTTTGTCTTAATTTTTTTTTCAAAACGATATGTATTATAGCTCGGAGAAAGTACAGTAATTACAATCAACAAGTTACATAACCCAACACCCCAAGGAGAGGAAATTGACTTTATACATTAATGCAGTTATATTTTGTCTATTAAGTACAAATGTAATTATTTGTTTATAGATTGTATTTTTTTATTATTTTCAGGATCTTCTGATAGATGAAAATTAGCCTATTTTTTATTAAACCAAGGGAAACAGTCAATAGTCATCTTTTCATAGTCCTAAACCAAAATAATGTTTGTTCATGTTGCATTGCCTTGCGGGTTGGGAAAAAAAATGAGCCAAAAAATTACGATGATGTTAGTATGTACAAAGTAACATAAAGACAATTTATAACATATTTAATAAAAAAAAATAATAGTTACAAATTTTAAATAGCTTAACGTTGGATTTTAGAAATTATACATACGTAACCAAAATAATAAATTACTGATTGAAATTTTTTTAAAGTACCGTTAAAGCATTGAAATTGTACCAAAAAAGAATTAGGCAGTCATAGGTAGCTTTGCTCAATTTACATCTTCACTATGCTTTTTAAAAGTTTATTAAAATATATGATAGAAACTAATACAAAATCAACCAAAAAAAAAAATTCTCATATAAATTTTATATTTACTCAAGTGCTAATCTACAATTAACAAAATTATAAGGTTTTGCATTTTTGTACATGTTATAAAACCTACTCAACTATCTCACCATGGAGAAAGATTAATGACTTAACTTATTTATTCATTTGTGAACTAATATAAAGGTAAAGCCCATCTAAGAATTATATTAACCACATAAAATAGATTAGCTTTTTTTTCTCAAATATAATAGTACTTGAGCACAGCACACAACTCTTTCAATTACAATTTCAAATAAATTCCCAAAACTCCGATCCTCAATTTCGGCCCATACCTGTTATTACAGATTTACTGTCCTATTTTCTAGCCGCAATCATAATGAATTGCTAAATTTCCGCCTCGCCCATGCCGCCTCTGGACGCCGTGTTCAATGGGTCAACGTGATGGGTGCAATTTCGATCCGCTGCCGATGGGTCAAACCTCCACGCAACCTCTGCATCTCTCTCCATAATTTAGGGTTCTTTTCAACAGCTTCATCAAAATCAAGCATCCCACCTTACCAATTTAAAAAAAATTCAACCAAGTACGGATTTGGAAGGTTTAGTTGGTAGATCTCTGTACATCTCTCTCCATAATTTACTGTTTTTTTCAACAACCTCATGTAAATCAATCAACCAACCTTACCGATTTTAAAAAACTGAACCAGGAGCAGATTTTTAAGATTTGGTTGGTAAATCTCTGTACCTTTTTTTCTCACATTTTCAATCTGAAGTCATTTTATTTTCGAGCTTTTTACCTTTTTTAATATATTTCTATTTCAAACATTTTTATTTTATTAATAATTAACTATGTAGGTCCATACTCTTTACTCCCGTCTATAAAAAACTTCAAGTTCGCCCTTCAAATCACCAAGGCCACAGTACACTAAATCTATAGCAGTAAATTGTATTGCATCTACTTTGTTATTCTTACACTTTTAATGTATACACTTACTCCTTAGTAAGATTATTGGTTTCTTGTGAATGGGCAGTCATATAATTCGCTTTTCCTGCATTTATGCTTGAGAATTTGTTGTTTGCTCTTACACTAACATACAATCCACGAAACTGTTATAAATATATGTGCAATTAATTTGTATTAGATTTGGGTTCTATTTTAGGCCTTCAAGATACTGTACATGTGGACATTTATATCTTAAATAGCATGCTTTTCCATGGAATTTTATTTATTTATTTTTTTTTTTGTGTGTGTTTGCATATGGCTGTAACATGTATATCAACCTATTTGATTAATTGATTGTGGTCCATTCTTTTGGCCAAAAAAGCAAGAGTATGATGGGATATAAATTGATGCTTTCTTCCTGCTACTCAATCGTATGTTAAATGCCATCCTTGTTGTAGGTTCTATATGCCAAGTAATTTTGCTAATTTCTTTGATAAACTACAATGTGTGCAGCAAATAATCTAATCATGAGGAAAACATTGACCGTCAATCAAGTTCAACCACGCATTAGAGGATGGACAGTCATCATACAAGTCATTGAACGAGGTCATATCCTTGTAAGCCAAAAAGATACTTCCGTCTCTTACCGCAGGTTCCTTTTCTGTGATGCTGAGGTAATATTTGGGCCTTTACACTTTGTACGTTTAAGAACATTTGAGGCTAACTTTAAAATATGTGCTAACTAATTCATGGGTTACTGAAACTAAATTTATCGTTTTTACAACAGGGCACTAATGTTTCAGCTGTTGCTTATAACAATAACATAAGGGCCGGTGCTAATCTATTGATCCCATTCAAGATATATCGTATCTCTGGTGCTAGTCTAAAGAAAGTTGATGACAGATATAGGGTGGGACCATATGACTTTTCTTGGACCATCAACAACAATACCCTCATTCAGCCTTGTGATGATGTTGTCCCGACCCACCTCTATTGCCATATGGACACTGAAAGATTCGCAAACTTACACCGCTACACGGACTCAGAAAACTTACAGAGTAAGTGTATTAATCTGTTGTAAATATTTGTGTTAATTTTTTACGCATAATTCATGTTTTTTGATTTAATGGTCCTTTATTATGTGCTTTTTTGCGTCTGCTGAAGTACTTCGTTATGTGATTACTTCGTTATTGTGTTTCTAGAATCTAATATTTTAGATAATGTTTAGTTAAATATCTCAATCTCTGATTCGTGATTGTCAAATTCTGTAATTTTATTGCATTACCATCATATGAAACTTTAGGTGCCTAATGTTGTTCAGAAACTATGAAAAATAGGTTGAATGACTTGGTGTGGGATGTCCCCCGTATACTTAATATGTGTTATTATGTGAAAATAATTTTTTATATTTCATATCTTGCACTTTGAATTTAGCTTATAATTATCAAGTCATATGGAAGAAATTGTATTGGAAATACATGAGGTGCTTTACACGTGGGCTATAATTTAAACTCTCTCTTTGGTGTCCTATGCTTCTTTGTGTTAATTCCTATGGATCATTGATTTTGTTGCATTACTTTTATTTTCACATATATGACATTCAGTCAATGTTCTGGTGTATTACACTTACACAACTAAATAAAAGATTTTGCAAGGAAGCTTCTTTCACTGGAAATAATTTACATCATCTTTTGCTGCTATTTTTATATACAGATATTCTAGGAGTTGTTGTTCATGCATTTGAACAAAAACAAAGGGGCTTTGATTCAGTGATGAGAGACATCGTGATTGTGAACACTGAGTGAGTTGTATTATTGTTTATTCCCGAAGTTAATTTAAATGTAAAAAAATAGTGTTAATGTATATTTACTAAATATCAGGAACATGCCTATGATTTTAACCCTTTGGAATGAGTTCGCTACAACTGAAGGTCAACAACTTGCAACTGGTATCAACGCAGGAAACGTAATCATTGCAATGCGTGTTCGGGTCACAACTTTCAATGGTCTGTGCGTGTTTTATTGTTTATTCTTTCATAATATATACTTCGCAACACACTAACCTTAAGGTATTACCTTTGGCCAGGAATCTCACTCTCCACCAAATCAACAAGTGCACTTCTCATAAATCCACCGACACCCGAGGCAAATGAGCTAAAGTAGTGGTATGATTCAATTGCATATTAAGAAAAAACAAAATCATATAAAGCTGATGTGACCACATGGTTTCTACATTATTTTGTGGGCAGGTACATACAAAATAGGCTGGATATTGACAATCTCATTATAGCCAGAGCATTTACAGACCCTGCTGCATTGCTTCCAAGGCCACCTGCTGAAAACATCATGAGTATTGAAACTTACTTGAATCCTGCTAACAATGTAAGTGCACAATATTCAACTAAGTATAGAAAATAGCTACGCCATACAATTTATGAACGCTGATTCAACGCACTACAACCACAAATTCTTATGTACAACAGGTCAAAGCTGCTTGGATTCAAGGAAGTATAACTTTGGGACTGGCCAACCAACCACTTTGGTTTGCCGCTTGCTCAAACTGCCAGAAAAAATTCGACCTTGAAGTGGGCTCTGATATAAGGTGCAGCTCATGCGACTAGCAGAGCCAAATTGTGGCAAGGTAATTTTCGGTTGTCAACAACTTTATAGATATAATAAAACTACCTAAAGAAATAAAAATGAAATTCCCTAACATTTGATGTTTAAATCGGGCAAGAATTCCAATCTACATTGAAGATGAGACAGACACAATTGCAGCAGTTGTTTATGGGGATGATGCTGAGGAGCTAGCTGGGCGTACTGGTGCTGAATTGAAAGATGCTGAAGAAGAGGTTTAGTGTCTTCCTTACTTACACCTTCTATTTGTTTACATGGTCTCATTATTTCAACTCTGTGCCTAATGATAGTGTTGTTACATTATGTTAGCACAGGCTTTGGACTTGCTCGGACCAATTGGCGTGAGGATTAAGAACCACCATCTTGTTTGTTATGTGAGGTTGTACCAAAGCAACGGCCCAAGCTATACAATTGTGAAGCTGTATATGGATGAAATTGAAGGTCTCTTAGATGAGGATGACATAGATCATGCAGCTGCACAGGTAACACACATGTCAAAGTCTTTCTCATTACTCTAACTATAAAATATAAGCCCAAAAAAAAAAAAAAAAAAACTGTTCACTACGTTTGCTCCTGACTACAAACAGAACGAGCTTGTGCATAACCCCGCGCCCGAGCCTGAGCCTGATGTCCAGCTATTTACACCAAGTACGAAGGCATGCCTGGAAGAAATTGCGAGTGCACCCATGAACACTGACATTCCTGGTCCATCAAAATCGACCCCAGCACGCTCCTTGGTATTTGGAGACGACACTGGTACTTCCTCCTCCGATCCTCCACTTGACACAACCGGCGGCGATGGATCCTACAGCGACGCCGCAAGTGCAAGCAGTTCAGCGGTTCCATCCAGCCCGCTCAAGAAACCTCGCAACTAAGCGCACTACTTTGGCGTTGCTGATTTGTACATACTTTTGCTAAAAAACTTACTTTTGTGGTGTTATGCTCTATGCTTTGTGCACACCTGTTGGGTTATTACTTTTGATTGGTGTTGCTGCCTACTTTTGTGAACATCCTGGCCTATCATGTGCAAGCTTTGGATGGTGTCGTTGCATGCTTTTGTGAACATTCTAGGTTAGCCTTGTGCAACTCTGATTGCTGTTGTCAGATAGTTGCGGTAGAATGTTTCCAGCTCTATTAGCCATCCATGTAGTATTAAGATGGCGTTTTGTGATGTACTCTCTATCTGGACCGTGTGTAAATGGAATGATACATACTTTCTTTTGCTAATTGCAAATACTTTTGATATATTGTTGCTAAAAAAAATACAAATGGCTATTAGTCACTAAATGTCATATCTTCACCACAAAAAAATGTTACTTATGCAAATCAAGATTACAAAATAATCAAATAATGTTTATATGTTCTGATTAACTAAAACACATTACCTAAATATTAATCAATTCAACACAAACAATAATTTTTGATAAATTTTAATGAGAAAAAAAAATACATACAGTTTTTGTATCAACCTATAATGACTATAAACAACACTAAAAAATGTCCTAAAAAATAATATACTAATGAATCGACAAATAATTAGTTTCCTACAACATTTGTTTCAATCTTTTGTCTTAAATTTAACTTCAAAATTCTAAAATAAAAAAAAAAATTATCAGACAACTAAGTATTACTATATGTTCATATTCATTTAATCATTTATATTTTGACTATTTGTATTCTTTCTGCTATGGTTAATTCTTATAACAAATATAACACATGTTTACAATAAAATCCTCCACTGTAATTTATAACCCTATTTATCCATTCACCAAAGAACTGGCGTACATCTCTTGTCTTTACCAATTAAAAACAATGACCAAGATTTTTTGTAACGGCGAGACGATGACAATGATGCTCCTTTTTCAGGCACGCAGGACTCCATCGCGTTTTCGGGATACACGGTAAGGAACAATTACCGTCTGTTCAAGAGTGACTTCTTTTATTTGTTTTTTTTAGGTTTGGTGAGATTTGACATGATTCAGAGACATATGTAGCAGATTTTAATCTATCACAGTACAATAGATTTAACAATTGCTTGTGACAGTTTTTATCAACATGGGTATGGAGTTGTTAATTTTCTTGTTACGTCAGAAATTTTAAGCTTGCACGGCACGTTGGTGGGACAACTTTAACATTTCAGATTTTTTCATTCAACAATCCTCTAACGGGTCTGGCAAAATATTACAAAAGCACATTTTTTATGGCGTGCTTCAACAACATAACACCCTCTTCGTCACCCCTGCAAACAAAGGTATGTTATTTGCAGCATCTTTTAACTTCTAAATGTGTTGTTAATTTTTCTTCAAACATTCACACCCTCGCATTTTATATTGTTAGGTTATCACAATGAAGAGAACAATTCCAATTGCTGGAATCGAACCAAGAGTTCGTGGGTCCAATTTTCCTTTTGTGAACCCTACTTAAAGTGTAGAACTGATTTTTATAAATCATCAGGACCGTGGTCACTTCGAGCCATAGACATGGCTTCACACTCTGCACCAGGCCTTTTCAAGCTAGCATTAGGTAAATTTCTTTTTTTTTTTTTGCTTATATGTGGTGTTTTTTTAATGATATGTTTGCGTTGCCTAAAACACGCTTCGTAATTTTTTCCCATTTTAATGGAACCATAAATTCTTTTAAATTTTTATCACCAACCAACAGTTTTATATGAAATAATAATCATAATCAGAAATAACCACCAAAAGTGCGATGTACTCAACTACGATATAGTCAACCCAAATACATGTCTAAGAACAAAAAACAAACATGAACATACAATTAGCAAAACAATACGTCCACAAAAGATTGATATAGTCAACCCAAGTACATGTCTAAGAACAAAAATCAAACATGACCATACAATTAGCAAAACAATACGTCCAGAAAAGATTGCTACATTGTAATCGTGAAACTACTTAAGTACACCTTGATTCTTATTAATCCACCAGGAACCAAGTGTACACCTTGAATCTTATTAATTCACCAGGAACCAAGCAAAACTTGTACGAACAATTTTCCACAATTTCATTGTCATCCATAAAACTACGTGCTTCGCCTCTTTGAAGCAACTTCTTCCCGTGCCCCTCGACAACCTCCAATTCATACTTGCGCTTCCCAATGAGAAGATATGCTACACTGGTATCAGCGTAATCTCCTTCAATATGGTCGCGCCAAAACTGCATAGGGATGAACTAAAAGAAAGG